AAAGATCTTGGTACGTGGCCTGGCTTCGAGCCAGCAGGATGGGGACAAAGCGAAGTTGAATTCGGATTGTGACGAAGATCATGTAGTTTCGAACGATTGGAACGTGAGGACAATGAAGCCGTTGTTGAAGGTAAATCTGAGCAGCCTGCTGCACCAACACCCAGAGTGGAGGATACAGACGGTCTGTACCGATATGTAAGAGTGATGAAGCATTGGACGGCGTAGCGCTTCTAGCTCGTGAAAACGTCGTCAAAAGCGCGCGTTAAAGCAAGAAAGACTCGCCGTAGTTAAGAAGAGAAGTCACCGTGATTGGGCAACCACGATATCAAATTGGGACTGACGTGGAGTGCCCAGGGATGTTCGATCAAGTGTGACTAGGAGCCGGATGATCGATTGAAATAGGAAGATGGGTGCAAATCGTGTCGCACTTGATGTGACGAATATACCAGTTGAAGTTGACTGCACAAACCAAACCTTACTCAACACCTCGATATATGACAACGAGAGGGAACTCGATTATAGATCATCGATCAACAAGAAGTGTGTCGATCAACAGCCATCAATCAACATGGGATGGGCAAGGGCGATATGGATACAAAGGTACCATGTTGACGACAAATGTAGGCACAATTCAGGATGAGTGGTTGTGGAGATAGGCTAGGGAAGATAGGCAGACATCTTAATATTCTTCGGACCTCTTACATTGGACCCCTCTGTTTTAGCCACGTTATAACCTCTACCAGGCTGGGAACTTATATTGGCCTACCCGACGATCAAGGCCAACACCCCGCTGTGCAAAAGGCAACTCGTCGACCCCTACGTCACTTGACTAGGCTCGACCCCCCCCCCAAAGATCCCGCTAACAGAAGCGGCACGCAACGGAAAAGAATAAGAACACACACAAGGACACGTAGATTGACCATCTGATCTACCCCATACTAGGCAACCGCGTGAAGAAGTGTCCACGCGGTAGTCAACAACCTTAAATACTGTCTATACAGTTCCCATAATAAACCCCAAGACATTCTCAAGTCACCGAGTGCAACCCCGCCCCACGGACGGGTACACAAGGTGAGAAGAATGTCAACGTCAGCGGACATTCGGAGTACCCTTTCCGTAAGTCGGTCGTCCGAGACACTACAGCGGCAGACAGCAATTTCTGCCAACCCACGACGCCACAATGGTGCGCATGCCCGGATCTTCAGGGATTTCACCGTAAGTCCGACGAAGATGTCACAAAGATCAATTTGGAACCTGGGATTGAGTCGTCAACGGAAGGTATATCGCTGCAGAGACTGCTGAGTAAAACAGTATACACGCAAAGTCAGAGCACTGGGAGGAGCTCTGACGATACCAAGGTGGAGGGTTCGGACATGGACCTGGAAGAAAAATCTCGCCCTCCTCCCAGAGGTCTCTCGCGGACGGTGACATAGGTCGCCATCCGCAGGTTGAAACTCGGACGACGCAAGCCGGAAGAATCTCGCGCCATGCCGCGAAGAGAAAGATGCCGCAGTCAGATCAAAAGGATCTGAAGGCGTCTGCCTCCGACACGGAGGGCCGCGGGGGCCAACAATGGACCAACCAAGATCTGGGGCAGACTTTTTACAAAAAGACCTCTTCTTGTTCTTGTCGGATGACCCATTGATGAAGATCCTAAGCCCAACGTTGATCTGAGAACGGCAAAGTCAGACGATGGAACCAGCGGATAGAAGTGACCTCTGCATACGACGAAGCCACGTATACGAGTGTTGGCGATCTCGAAGCTGAAGGAATACTCCGGCAAATATCACGACGAAGACCAGCGCGAAAGGTTGGCTGGGCAAAGTGACGTCCGCGTTCGTCCGGGAGCAAGCTCCAAATAGTGGAACAAGTCTTGTACTGGGTGATCTCTTCACGGGCCCATCTCCTAACTGGTAGCAGCAACTGAATCGATCAACGAGGAGCAACTGGACGGGCCTGTTTTAGGTATTCAAGACGGAATACTGCGGACGGGAGTATCCGTCGCGCGGCAATACTACCGCTCGAAGAAACGTTCAAACGGGTCGCCCTTGGAATATCTTCACAGACCCAACATGGCAGGATTGCGAGCTAAGCTGCAGGTCAAGGATGGACCTCTAGCCACATGTCGCAACCACATCGAACATTTCATTGAGACATTGGAGAATCAAGATCTGGCTGTTCAGCTGGCTCTGCTGCTGTTAACCGACGCCAAATATCTGGAGGAGACACTACGGGCGCGACAACGCGCGAAGTCCTGCCGAGGGAAAAGTCATGCGGAAACAAATTAATCCCGACAGAAAGTGGCGCCCGAACCTCCGTCTGCGTCCTCGAAGAATGCACGAGCAGTACGAGCGATCAGTGTAGCGGAAGACTGCAGTGAGTCGGAATCAGACGTGACAACATCCGATCAAGAAGACAAATGCCGTCACGTGTACCTGGTCGAAGATAAGACCGAGAGAACCATTCGATCGCTCCGATGCACAGAGACAGCACAGCCGTCCATCTCGTAATGACACAAAAGAACTGTACCCACTGCAGATAAACGAAGCACGACAACCTGGGTTGCTGACAGAGGCTGACGTGCCAAAAGTGTGGCAGGATGGGGCTTACACCCGATCATTGTCCTTTCGTCTGCGGCGCATCCAGAGAGATGCACGAAACCTGGAAAGTGTCCGTTGGAGGAGTTCTACAAATTGATCTGTCAGTGGCACGTCCAGAACAAGCATGAGCAAAAGTTGCCAGTTAATGCCGAAAAGATGCTGAATTAGAACGCTCGCCAGGTTGGAATCTGGTACGAGCCAAGCATTCTGAGATCTGCATTTATGCATTCGCCGAGAAGCGGAAGACAAGGAAGGTTAGTAAGCTGGTCGTCAATACATGTGAATTGCACGAGAAGCGTACTTTTACAGTCGTAAGTTTGCGAGAGGATGAATATTCTCGATCAGATGTGATCAAGGAGATGGACATACTGCCATGAGAATAGCGAGCGTACTGGAAGTACGACGCCCAGACAAATGGTTCAAGTAAGCCAAGTCAAACGCCAAGATCAACAACGAATAGGCCACGCTCCTTTTCGCCTCTGGAGCTGAAATCTCCATTTGGATTCTACCTTTGCTCGTAAGGCCGGATGCACTATCGACGACAGCCAAAAGTAAGAGTGTTGGCATAGGAGAAAACGCGTATACGACAGAAGGACGTACCCAGTTCAAGATCACGCTCACGGTAGCGTACGTGTACTACTTCGACGCTTGGGGCGGAGAACGGTCAGACATGGTCGACGGGTTGCTGTGTCTCCTGGACGAAGTAAGAATCCAGCTGTCCGGACGTCGTCAGCTCTTTAGCGGGAACTCAAGGTTGATCACCGTCGGTCAAAACCATAAAATGCTGATTGCAGGATCGGTGGAGATCGCCATCTGCAGCTTGCGTCTGACAGAGAGAAAATGTGGGTCACCCGTGGAGAACAGTGGGTCCCAACGGCGGCCAAAGGGCTGGTTAATACGCAGTACCTGCGTATAACAAAAGTGTCATAACGATCAGTGACGCTACAACGCGGTACTCGAGTTGGTATCTGGCTGGAAAGAGACCACGTACCGCGTATGCCAGTGTTCGTCTCGATCAGGTCACGGAGAGACGCGGAATGGTAAAACTTGGTATTGTAAACTACCATTGAACAGCAAGCTGTGGACGAGATGGTCGAAACTGCGACAGAGCCAATACGAACCGCCGGCCAATATCCTATCGAGTTGACAAGACCACCGTAAGGCGATGATCTTCCTGTCGACTCCTGTAATGAAGTCAAACATCACTCAAGATATCACGGGCGAAGCGTCAGCAGGGTTTCAACCGGAGGAAGAGGGTCGCATCAACACAAAGAACCAAAGGGATAGACCAAGAGTGATCGAGAACAACCGCGATCAACGGGACACAGAGGGACACAAGTAAACCCGAAAGAGGAAACTGACGACGACATGGAGAATGCTGCCTGCGGCCATGAAACCGGAGACATCTTCCCTGGAGACATCGATAATAACAAGGTTGTCCTGCCTGAAGTAGAGGGTACTACGAAGGAAGTTACCATCGACGACAAACAACTAGACGATCCACACGCGACACCGGAACAAGGCGAGCGATCTGGAAGCGACGGCACTTTCTGATAGGAGCCGGAAACGTTTTACCACCAATCGCCTTTGGAGCTATTTGCGACATTGATGTCGGAACGGCAAAGCCGGTAGCTCAGCGATGTCGACGGGTAGCGCCACAATTCCGCGAGAAGCTGTCCATGCTCATCAAAGGACTGCTGTCGGCGAAGGTCATCACCACCTCCACCTCACCTTGGGCGTCGCCCATCGTTGTCATCATCAAGGCTAACGGGGTTGACATTCGCCTCTGCATTGATTACCAGGTGGTGAACAGTCTTACGAGGTTGGTGGTGTACCCCATGCCGTTGATCAACAACCTCCTTGAAGACTTGGACAAGGCGCTCTGGTACTGTTCCCTCGATATGGCTAGTGGTTTCTGGGTGGTGTCAATGACCCCGCGAGCAAGACTGGTTTCGGCGTTCATCACGCCGTTCGGGTTTTTCGAGTGGACGAGGATGCCGTTCGGGCTAAATAATGTCCCTTGGATCTACCAGCGGATCGTCGACAATGCATTATACGGTAATATGCGTCCTTCAAACCGTTCAGGTTTTCACCACTTTCACCTGCTTCAGCACTAGGAAGGAGAACCGGGGCCAAAACCTAAGCTGTCAGCCTTCGGGCGGATGTCGTATGTGGACGACCGGCGCCACATGGGATAGCATGTGCATCCATGTTGACAAATTGCTCGACGTCTGTGATCGATGGAACTTGTCGATCAGTGTAGCCAAGAGCTACGCAAGGTAGCATATCTAGGACACGAAGTATACTCAGCTGGGCTGGAAGCTAAGCCAAAAGATCTCGTCGCAATTGCCAACCTTCCGATGATAGCCTTATAACTGGGGTGAGCGTGATAGGTGGACGATGGCGAAGAACGCTTTCACTATGTTGAAGGCGAAAATTATTGCCACGCCGGTCCTGAAACACTTCGACCTGGAACGCACCCCCGTCATCGTGCTTTACGCGAACAAGTGGGTCATATCAGCGACATTGATGCAGTAAAACGACGGTGTGTAAAATCCGGTGAGTTTCACCAGTCGCACGCTGAAGGCAAACGAACTCAACTATAGAGTGCTGGATAAAAAGATATTGACGCTTCTGCAAATCTTGAACATCTGTTACTCACAGCTGGTAACCGGATCGGTCAAAGTCTTGTCACGATTCTCGACATTGGCCTGGTTGCTCAAGTCGAAGGGGTTCGGTGGTCGACTAGGTAGGTGGGCAACACACCTATCAGGATGAACGCTGGAAGTAACCAACTGTGTAAAGGGTTAATACGAAATCCTTGGGACAATCACAGTTAGCATCACCCCAGAGCCGATGTAGACGAAACCCTAGTCGCGATAGCACCCAAGAAACAGATACGAAAACTGATCACCATACCCCCACCGATGACCGAACACTCTTGGTGGTGAGGCTTGACGGATCTGCGCTGGTCAAGCGCAGCGGTGGTGTATATAGCGCAGTCGTGTGGAAACTGCTGGAGTGGACGGTGGTAGAAGCCATGACAGAGTACATGCCTGAATAGACGAAGAACGAGGCGGAATATCGTGGACTGATACTTTGTTTCGATTTGCTCTTGACCTTGGGTGCGTCGTAAATTGTGGCGACTCAAACTTGGCGCTTCGTGAGATGAACGGTTAGATGGACTGCAAAGCACCAGGTTTGTAACTACTCCGACAGAAGGAGCTAAACCGACTAAGGTCATGGCCAAAACACGAGTTCCTCCACGTGAAGCGTGAATGGAATCTGAGTGCTGACAAATTGGCAAGGATGGCGCTGCAGCGGGATGAAGGCAAAATAATCACCTCGGAAGCCGACTGTCAGAATTTGAACTGCCTGGGTGAAATACTGAAGCCAAGGCTAATCGAGATCGTCAGTGTATACGCAATCCCACGGGCCGCTGAGAGCCAACGCCACACACCAAAAGCAATGGAAAATTTACAATACAGCGCATACAGTGTCGGAGGACTAGGTGGGTTCAGGGTGAAGAGTACCTAGATGGGGAAGTGAATACCTGAACAGCGGAAGAGGCGAATATATGTTCGAACGTCGCTCTGAATGATGAAGTAGACGAGAGTGGGCTACTCCTCTTGTACCCCAAGACGCTGTAACGAGACGAATACCACGATGGAGTCGTCACGATGGTGATACCCGATAGCTTGCAGCGAGACCTCCTTCATCGTTATCATTTCAGTCTAGAAGGAGGCCATCAAGGCGTCGGAAGGACGTACCGGAGTTTTCAAGCGAAGTTTGACTGTCGTGGTCTGTATCGAAGTGTACAACGCTACGCGGGGACGTACTGATTGTGAAACCATGTAAGGAATGACAACAGGTCAGGGAAAATCACCAGGAAATATCCAGGGTACATATCTTGTTCAGGTGATCTCCATGGGCTAAATTCCGGCGTTGCCGAAGTCGTTTAAGGGGAACACCGAGCTGCTGATTTGAACCGACTTGTTCAAGAGTTACCTAATCACCAAGGCTGGTCGGTTGAGAGAAGCGCAGACAGTGGCCTAGAATTACGAGGAATATATATTCCGTCATTTCGGTGCAAGCGAAGTCGTCAGACATGACCGGGAGCCGGGTTTATATGTCAGAGTTTTTCCATGCTTTTAGCCGGATCATGAAAATGAGACAGAGCGTAACAATGGATTTTCGTTCACAAAAAAGGAAAGACCGAGCGAAGGGTGCAAACCCTGACACGAGCCCTGAAGACGTACGTCGCGACGTCAATCAGCATAGCTAAGACAATTATGCAGAGCGGCTGAAGTTTTCGCTGAATACGGCGCACGATCGTGTGAGGGGGGAAACGTCGTTCATCCGGGTCCATGGATGGGACCGGCGGGGGGCACTTGAGCAGTTGTTTCGGTAGGATCGACACGCCACCGCGACGGCAATGCCAGGAGATGGAGATATCACATACAGAGACAGTATCGCAGAGTCAGGGAAGCCATCAACGAGAATCTGCACGAGACGATCGAATCTTGGACTGACTAACACAACGAAAACGTAAGACCAGACCAAATTGAGGAAGGCACACAGGTATGGCTTTACCTGGATCGCGCAAAGGAAGGTTATGCCCGTAAGCTCGCACACATGTGGCATGGACCGTTTCGCGTAACCAAGTTGATCGGCAACCACGCAGCTCGTTTCGAGACCGCTGGCTCATGGTATCGAATCATGCCGATTGTACACATGTCGAACTAAAAGCCAGTGTGAACATTCCCATTTCGACCAAAGGTTGTTTTAAATACTGAGAACGATGACCGAGTAGTTTTGATGAGGAATTGTTGCCAAACGATAGCTGGGAAACCCCAGTGGACGAAGAAGAATTCGAGGTAGAACGGATCGCGTATGTGCGATCAGGGTGACGCATCCGTTATGAGCGGACCGAGAATTCCAGGTCAATTGGAAAAGCTATGACCACCCGACATGGGTGGACGAAGGGGTGAAAGGATCGATGGTCGAGATGGGTCGTTGATCGAGATAGTTGATCGTAGTTGATGTTTGAGATGATTGATCGAGGTCGACGATCGTAATCGATTGTCGAGCCGATGGTCAAGAAACAAGAGAATTGTGAACCAAGCCATGGCGTCGAAGAGCAGAAGCAGAGAGCTGACAATCGGGCAAAAGTGAAGCGGCTACCGCGTAAGACAATGAGTATAAGAGGTGTCGAAAGTGAGAAGCCATGAAAGGAAAAAGTATCCATCGACGCAGTCAACTGGTCACGGACACGAGAGCATGCAACTACCAAGTAAGAGAGGTCAGACTCGTAACAACGAAGGAACGATTACAACACAGTCTGATACGAACAAGGTCAAGACAAACGTGGTTGAGAGACGCAGAGTACCGACTATGTTAATTAGCTTTCCGTATTCTTAAGCTATTCCACAGGGATGACCTTGCCCTCAGGACGGGGAAGCTGGGAATGAGCATGGTTTTCAATCGCGTGGTGGTACTGGTTGCGCCAAGGATCTTGGTGGTCAGCGTCACGAAGAGCTTGAAACAGGTTAGCGGACCGCGGAGTACAGTGTAGGCCACGGTTATATTTTGGCCGCTCGCCAGGATGCGAAAAGAGAGGAGGACAGGATCCAGAAGGATATCGAGGTCGCAGTGTCCAGCCCCGGTGCTCAACAACACGATCCTGATAAAGCTTTTTCAAGGTAGCACCAAAACGTGACCGGCGCTGCCTGCGCTCCACGTAGAGGATCACGAAGTACTTGTCGGCTCTCTGCAGTTTATCTGAGATGGAAAAGAAATAGGTGGGTTCCCACGCCTCTTGATGATGGTTCTTCTGTAACTCTTCCAATTTGAGCGACAAGGCTTGGAAGAGAGCCCTATCCTTCACAAAGGAGGTGAGCTTCAATGGTTTTAAGAGAACCCCCTCCCAGGGCGTAGTAGCATATATGGCCGAAACGTTACCCTCATCCAAATGCTTCGCGTCCCAATCCTAGTCACTAGGCACCCGGCTATGACTTTGGAAGTAGCCAGTTAGGACGTTTGAAGAAGTGTCCGAAAGCATCGCAACGTCAACTTCAAGGACGCTGATTTGTGAGACGTCCAACAGTGGCCAAGGAGCTGCGTCAGCTACAGAAAAGATTACGCAAGCACGACAACCAGCGAACCAGAATGCACGGTCAACACAAATTGAAGGCAATTGGGTGTAGGCGACAGGCGTCAGCAGCTCGTTGCGATACACCAATTTGGAAGCACTACCGGAATCGACGGCAACAGGATCACAGACATTTCCATCGCTAACGGGTGTCCTTACTCGGCCAGTACCAGTGTTTTCGGCATCCGTGCCGTCTGCGTTAAACTCAATCGGACGATAGCGCGCGGTACCGGCCAGGTCAGACGAAGCAGGAGGAGATGACAAAGTACGGTCACCCGATAGAGCGTTCGTCACGGAATCAGCACTGCCGGAATCGGCATCAAGGTAATGATCGAGCGAATCGGACCGAACATCGCCACGTCAGGGATGACTCAACGACGGGCCGGAAGGTGACGGGCCTACGTCGTCATGACGAGAAGGACGTAAGCCGCGGAGGGCAGTAGCTCCGTGAGGTCCCAGAGAATCAGCACAGACAGGCACATCGTCTTGAGTACGGGAGAAACCGAACCACAAATGATGGTCATTAGAGTGAAGAAATCCGTGCCGAGGATTCGAGCGAGGAGGAGGCGTGACTGTGTCAAGACCTTGAGCGGAACTATGTTTGCGGTTGGGCACATCCTGGTGGCAACCACCCACGGAGGACGAATCAGCGACAGGAACCTCCGCTGTAGAAATGGCGGCCGTAGTTGGCTGCGCCAAGCCAATCAAACCCGCAACTTGAGAACACAGCGCAAGAAGGTTGGTGGAGACTTGGTCGCACTCCTCCTCTGCGACGTGCAAGCCGGTCTCAGCCGTCAAGACGTGGAAGCTTAACGCGTCATTCTCCCGGGATACGTCTTCTACCTTCTGCTGAAAGACGCCAACTTGAACTTCAAGCGTTTGGAACATCTCCTGTCGCATCAGTATCTTGCTCCAGTCAAACGACGTCGTCGTGGAGAGAAGCCGCCCGCAATGCTATGGACAAAGAAATAATCTTAGCAAGGGTACAGAGTCAAACCAGTGTCAGACGTACCAAGCGTTTGAGATGCAGTGGCAGCTTTGTTGCGTGCTGCGATGATCTCGCCCAGTTCCGCGACGGGACGACGAGTGGCAGCCTCACCAACAGCGACCGCGTCGCTGAATAAGTCCTGCTCCTCGCAGCAGACACGCTAGTGACGATCTTGCGCGCGACCATACCGAGACTCCAATATGCTGACGTGGCGATGAAGATGGGCTTCAGAGCCCTCCAGCTTCTTCAGGTGGACCTCATGAGCGCGGATCGTCTTCTTGGCGTTATGAAGGGCGCCAGCTTGAGTACGGAAGGCGTCGCGAGCGTTACGTAGATCGACCGGGAGTTGATCACACTTGCGTTGACGAGCAGCAAGACGACGCACGTCGGCGGGGGCAGTCTGATTTGCAAATACTCGAGCAGCGCGTATACGTGACACCAAGTTGTCGACCTCACGATTGAGTCGTTTGAGCTCCTCAAGGTGGTAGCTGAGAGTCGTCTGGAGATGGGCTCGCACGTCCAGGAACTCGGTAGAATCATCGCGACGATCTTGCAGCACGTCCACGCCTCTCCAAGGTCCGCCTGGGCCTGATTACGCTGATCGAACTCAACGAATGGCCGAGCAAGAGCGGAGTTGTCGTCCATCTGCAGGTCCAATTCACGGACGCGAACTCGCAGATCACGACAGACAAGTTGCAGCGCGTGGTGGTCATCGACCAGAAGCTCGAGTGCGCTAGCATCATCCACGGCCCCGCGGACGGAAACTAGGTCCAGCGCAGGCGGCACGAGGGTAGGGTGGGCAACACAGACGGCGGAAGCAACGCATAAGCACGGGAATGGGGTGATGAGGAAACACAGGTGGAAGATGATTGGTCACAACACAAAGAAATACACAAGTATATGCTTCAGAAGCGGCGTTAGCAGT